CTCTCTCTCTCTCTCTCTCTCTCTCTCTCTCTCTCTCTCATACACACACACACACACAATCTCTCCCTACTGCTCTTTTTTCCCACAACACTTATCAGAATCTGAAATCATCTTGTTCAATTATTTATTATCTGTCTCCTTCATGTAAATTTGTGGAAGCATGGATTTATCAAATGTATTTATTACTATATCCCTAGCGTTGGGCAGAGTTGAACAGATGAGCGAGGGAAACTGAGCTGAGTTATGAAAAACATGTAGCAGTTATTGCAGGAATGGGGTGGGGGGTACAAAAACAGAATGCCCACAGGCATAAGGCTAATAAGAAGGAGTCAAGACATCCTTGAAGGGATTTAGAGGGAAATAAAATGATCGGTGCTTTGTACAGAGTGTGTTTTCATTAAACATTAAAAAAATGAATGAGCAAGTAAATGAGTGAATACATGATGGAATTGATAATCAGGTTTTTGTTTTTTGAATTTGTGAACATAGGTGGATGAAATAGAGTTAAGAAGTAGAAGAACTTTAGAAGGCTGGTCTTTTCTAAAAAGAAAAACAATGAAGGCCTTAACAGAGAATGTGGGAATATTAAAGAGAGACCACCTCTGAAAAGTAAGTATGATGGTCATATGACTGAGGTGAAGAAGTCAATGAGGAAGAGGACTCTGAGTGGGGTGTCTCAATGGGTGATGGTGTCATTCACCACAAGGTAAAACCAGGTTTAGTGCAAGGAAGCTCCCCTGGGGCAATGAAGGTTGAAGTCTCTGTAATAGACAACTCAATGTGGTTGAGAGTATAGACCCAGGAGTAATGTTGAGACAGAAGACAGGTTTGGAATAGTGTGGAGACTGTCATCTTCAGGAAAATGGATAATTTAAGAGGTCAAGAGGCAGGGAGGGGAAAGGAGTCTCTACAGAAACTGAGGGTGATATGAGGAAAACTAGTAGCATGAGGCTATTAGGAACAGGCAAGTGCTGCTGGCTCAGCCATGTATCCGGGGTCTGGCCACTGGAAGAGACTCTCAAACCCTGGCAAGTGAGGGGAATAGTGAATAGGTAGGGATGGAAAGCAACTTGGAAGGAGAGGACTGGTTAACAATAAAGCTACAAAAGTACCAAAAAAAAAAATAATGATAGCTAGAGCTCAAATTGATTTTATTAAGGGATCATCACATGCAGAAGCTGTTTTAAGCCAATCACATGGTTTGATTGGTTCAATTCTCAGAACCACCTTGTGAAGTAGGGATTATTATTCTTATCCCCACCTTATAGATGTGAAAGTGAGGCACAGAAATGTGAATTTGCCCGGGGTTACACAGAAAGTTATTGACAAAAGCAAGGTTAAGTCTGGTCATCCTGCTCCAAAGCTCACGTTTGCACAGATGGAAGAGTGTGTTTTGTGAGGGAATTGGAATGAGGGCAAGATCAAGGAGTGGCAGCTCTGTGACCAGGGGAGCTGAAAGGAAGGTGGGTAAGTGGGGGTGGGCAGATGTCCCGACTGCTGTGAGGCACTTAGCTAGGAAGAAAGAGGAAGAATAGTATTGGAAAGAAACCTAGTGACAGAAGCTGTTGGTGTTACTGAGCCACTCTGCAGGGTGTGGAATCCTAGTCTGTTTACATCACACTCTAGAACTGCTAAGAAAAAAGTGAGGGGGTTGGATGAGAAAACTCGAAGGCTGCTTCCAGTTCTGATTCTACTATTCCACAACTTGGAAATTCTTTCCCAGGGCAGCCAGATGGATGATTTCACTCAATAAAATTAGTTGGAAAAATAAGTTAACTCACTTTTAAAGAGGTATTTAATAGGACCTAAGAGCCTCTTCTCGTTTCCTTATAATTCATGAACTTGTCATCTTTTCCTGGTCTGTAACTACTTCTTGTCCTTAGGATGAACCTAAAGGTTCTGTTGGGTTTAGATACAACTTAATGACAATTTTTGCTTTCTTTTCTAAGATTAGGGAAGTGGGAGTCAAAGTCATGGGGTTCAAAAGCTTTTCTCTATTGCTTTTTCCCTTTTATACTCTATACCTCCTTCCTCCGGAAAGAAAAATGCAAGTTCAGGCAGTTAAAGAAAAGTCATAATGTTTCTTCCACAATGTGTTCTAAGACAATGTATCACTGGTGTTACTTTCTGCAGCTCTATTTAACAGAGAAACAACTCAGAATTTCTCCTAACCTTTTCTCTTTCTGTTATGTTAAACCTCATTTCTCCTCCTAGGAGCAAATGCAGTGCACACATATCAGTCCCAGACATTACAATCAGAACCTCATTTTACCTCTATTTCTTTCATATCTCAGCATCACTTTTCAATCTCTAATGACTCCTCTCCTCACAATATCAGTTTTCAATTATCCGCTAGCTGGGCTGTGAGGTGAGAGATAGATTGCACAAAACCTAGAACTCATTTCTTTTCTGGCTTTGGGATGTATTTTCACACTTACCCAAATTGGTCTATACCCAGTTTTGGAAAATCAAAACACTTCAAACAAAGTCAAGCTACACTTGGAAGGCATGTCTCAAAAGGAATTAGAAAGCAATCCACTTAGCAAGTCTTTGCTCCTTGCTCATTTCTATTCTGGGCACCCCTCCATACAATGGATGGATGATGTTATCTCTTAGACAGATGCAAATAATCTTCATAAAGAGACCTTTATTTTCCTCTCTAAAGCAAGATATCTTTCTAAGCTCACAATTCCCCGGAGCAAAGTGATAATTAAAGTGTTTCAGGTTCAAAGGCAGTTTCTCTCTAAAATTCCTGATGAGCTAGTTTCAGACAGGGGTGACAGTAAACAGACATGGTGATGATATCATAAGTGAATCAGGGAGGGGGCGGAGCAACATGGCGGCGAGGAGACGCTGCGAGTAAGATCTCCCATTAAAAAAAGTGAATAGGGAGGAAAAGCGCAGGTCCCAGTGAGAACTGGGACACGGAAGATAAACGGGTGACGCCAGCGAACTGCCCGAAGAAGAAAGTGGCCATAAAAGAGGACTAGAAGGGAGGGAAGCGCAGAACCCTGCTCCCCTCCCCGCCCACAGAGGCGGCACTCTCCGACCCCCAGAGAGGAGGAAACAACAAACCAAAACGGCCCACAAGAACAAACGACGCAGCAAGCGGGACTGTGAGCGGAATGGAACTATTGCAGCCACCACACCCCGTGAACGGGAGCTGAGACGAACCCTGCAGGATCCGCCGCGGCGGTGAGCGAACGGCTCTGGGCGCCATTAGAGAAGAACAAAGACCCCGGGAGACGCGCACACAGCCCGGGCTGCCGGTAAGCCTGCGCGGGAAACGCGGCGCGCCTGGCGCGCTTGAAAAGCAAGTGCAGACCGGGATCGCGGCTGCCCAGGTCCCCGCGCCTGTGACCTAGGCTGGCGGGGAGACGACCTAGGCTTGCGGGGAGACGCACGGAGGTCCTCACTGAGGTGAAGGTCCCTCCCTGAGTAAGCAGGAACCAGGCGCCCAGGCACGGGAGCCGGGTGCAAAAGGCGCCATTCCCACGCCACTGAACTGGGCTACAGCCCGCGTCCTGGACCTGAGGGCTTTGAACTGAGACCCGGGGCACGAAAATTCGGGGCGTGGTTTCTCCACGACGGTGGGGCACAAGGCAGACACAGCACCCCAAAGCTGTTGAGGTGTACCCTACCATTCCCGCTCTGTTCTCTGTCCCACGGGGTGGGGGGAGGCGAAAAACAGCCCCCCAAGGACAATAGGAGAGATCTCTGGCGCCACCTAGCGACCAGAAAAAAAAAAGTCACTAACACCCTATAAAACAGGACATTTCTTAAGTCTGCTTGAAAAGGGCAGAAGGTTTCTGGAGGACCCAGTGGCCAGCCGGGAAGTTATTCCACGCCAGGCCCCTTCCGACCAGCAGTCTGAGCCCACAGAGGGAGCAGGCACCCACGTCCGGGGCAGACCGGGTGCGCAGAAGAGTGTGCCTGAAACCGGAGGCGCAGGGACTGCATCCTGCTTCGCCATTTGAGAACAGGGACATTTCTTCAGTAAAAACTGCCTAAAACCAGCA